TGGGACAGGTGCAGGGGGGAAGGTGAGAGGTAGAGAAGCACTGGGCTCCGTTGGGGAGGCCCTAGGAAGTCAGCCATGGCTCTGGGGTTAGGTGTATTTCAGATTAGATCTTGAAGGTATGGACTGCTTTCTTTGCTCTTCTGTTTGAAGCTGGTGAGTATATGGAAACTTATGGAAAATATGTGAAAAGAAATTTACATTCTTAATGGTATCCCTACTCGACTTAAAAATATCTCTATATATTTTATTTTAGGTGCCTACCCAGCTTTTGAAAATCAGTTTTTCTTATATAGATACGTAAGTCTATCTGGTGAATCATAGACTGGTAGAAAGAAACCTACTACTGGCTTTCTGCTCACCCTCCTCCCAACCCCCATTCACACAGTAAAGTTAGATGACAGTAAAGTTAGATGTTAAGAAGACAAAGATGCAAAATGTTCTAGGAATCCAAGCGCCACTTGGTGGAGCATCTGTTGGCCCCTGGGGTCCGCAGGCCAGCAGCTGTCAGGGACACCTGTGTGTGAGGCCAGAGCCTCCTGCGTGGAGAAGTTCCTACAGGGACACTCACAGCCTTTTGATGTCAGGGGCTCACATCGTGTTTAGGAGGAGCCTAGACCACCAGCATATGGGCTTGCATTAAGGGCAGCGTTTCTAATCCCAGCCTTTTGTGGTTCTTTAACTACATTTGGCACATCATCATGAATTTTACCCACCTGGGGTTCCCTGCATGACCCAGTGACCCAGAGTCCCACAGGGCCTGTTTCCCTGCAATTTGTATTGAGAAATGTTTAAAGCCATTTTGTATTTGATAGACTTTCTTATGGTTAGGACACTTCAGGAAATGTGCTGATCTGCGTGGTGCTGTGCTGCCATGAGTAGGGGAAAGCATCCTCTTTGCAGACGTAAAGGACTGAGGATGAGAGTCATTTTCTATGTTTTCAACGTGATTTTAATGACTGGGGAAACCTTATGGCATGATAAGTGAAGAGGAAATAAAATTTCATGTACAGGATAATCTTAACTGTGTTCGAATACACATACACACCACACACACACACACACACACACACACACACAGTTGTAAACGGTGGTCATTTCTTGGTCGCAGAACCATGAATGGTACTTTTTTCTTCCTTATACTTTTCTGTTTTTGTTTGGTTGTGTTTTGGAGGTAGGAGTTTAGAGTCTATTTGATTTCTCCTATTTTCTTTATAACATGGAGTTGTATAATTTTCCCTTAATTTCCTTTGACGGATGTTTTGAGAATAATCACTTCTCTCAGAAGGAAGGCATTTCATTAGAATAAATATACCAGTGGCCAAAATACCTGTACCTGATGAGGTTAAGAGAAAAATATTGAAATTATGTTTTTAGAAGTAGCCTGATTCTCTTAATTCTCGTAGTAATCTTATTAAAGTATGGAACATCAAAGCAATGTGTTTTAATCCAGTGTTTTTAGTTTTCTAAGACAAATATTCTTATTCCAAAAGTATACCTAGTCATTGTAAATAATGAAATGTAATGTAAATAATAATGTAAATACGCATAAACAAGAAAGAGGAAAATACATGTCACACATAACTCTATTACTTAAGAGAAAAAAAAAAACCACACTCTGAATATTTGGGTTTATATACTCCTGATGTTTTCTTATGCTTAGACATTGTGTACATATAAGGAAAACAAACCAAACCAAAAATGACATTTGATGATTTGATTTAAAGGACTCTGAAAAAGCAGTGGTATGCTTTTTCAATATATACACTACTTGTATATTGGAATTTTCTTCTCCATCCTCTGACTTAGACCCATTCAAACAAGGTTAGTTATAGAACTGTCCATTTATCTAGCTCTCACCATCACTCCAAGCTTTCCAGAACAGTGTGACTGGACATCTGGACATTTTGGGCTGCAGCTTATTTCATTGGATCTGATGGAAAACAAAAACAAAAACAAAACCAAAAAACAATGGTATGAGCTTATAGTGTTCATTTGTGTCCCTTAAGTGTTTATCTAGCTTTTATCCTTTCCAGCTAGGCAGCTCATGTGTCCCTGAGATTTACACTCCAAGCCATCCTCCAGTGCACATGTTCGTCACAGGATATGGCATGGGGACCTTGAGGTGCCAGGAAAAAGGCCAAGGTTTCCAAATTTTTTTAGCTCGTGATACAAATGTCCCCAAATGCAACGCATAATTCTCAGGCATCTTCCTGGTCATGAAATTTTGTTGGCTTCTTCTATCTTGCTGTTACACAGAAAAATCATTCTGATCTCCAAACCCCTCTCTCTTCCACAAGTGAGGGCCTCTTGAAAAATATCTTTCCTGACAGCCCTGTTCACACATGATTTCCCTCACCTGGTCTCCCTGGATGTCCCTTGTTGCTTTCCGCCCAGCTATGAGTAAGCTCAGCCTTCCCCGGGGCCACCGTAGGCTGTACATTTTCTGTTGCTTCTTTGAGGATTTGCTCGGTCACTTAACTGGCCTTATCTACCCGTGCCCACATCTTGACTTGAAAAACAAAATTATAACAAAAACAAAAACAGGAAAGCAAAAGGAAGAAAGGAAGAAAAAGTATCACTCGCGGTTCTGCTACCAAGTAATAAGCACAGTTTACAGTATGGGGTGTGTATGTATTTATTTTAACACAGTTAAGATGATCCTGTAGACAGAAGTTTGTTTCCTGTTTTTCACTTAATATGTCGTATTTCCTCAGTCATGAACATTATTCATAAATGTTTTCAATGCTTTGATAATAGTTCATGTTATTGATTTACTACAGGGGCTTAGCTGTTTGTTTAATGTTAGAAGACAATCTAAATATCCATTTTCTTATTATATATCCGCGATCAGTAGGCATGTAGAACAGCGCTAGAAGAGATAGTGAATTCTCAGTCGGTGCTAGCTTTTACTGGTTTTATTAATAATAGTTTGGATGCAGTTGTTGTCAGAAAACCAGCAGAAGCCCTGGATTGTCCCTGGTGCTGGGAGGGGATTGCCCATTGCAGATTCTTGGCAGGAGGTGTAGGCATTACCTCTTCCTTTTCCCAGCCGAGAGAGGATTTCTTCTGGAGTATTTTAGCTCCTCCATTAGTACCTTGGCCTCCCCAGGCTGAGATCCATCTGTTTCAAGCTCAAAAGCTCAAAAGCCTTGATTGGTCTGGGTTTTCTTGAGCGTGTTAAGAACTCTGAAAAAGCCCTTCTCTTGAATTTGGTGCATCTGGTGGTCATGTGAACAGTCTTTTTGTGGCACATGATTGTATTGACTCAGAACTATAATTTTCCTGATGCTCCTCGAGGTGTCCCAAGAACTGCTTTGCCCCCTGTCAACCAAAGAAACCCCATTTTCATGCCAAGGAGAGATTCTGTTTGTTAGAATGTGAGGGAAATGTGTGATGGGGTAATTTTGAAGGCAGTCACATGGAGAGAGGACTGGAACATGCATTATGGGTTGGTTAGATAGGTGGGAACACTAGTTGGGGGTGGATATAGGATTAGGAAGGTGGGGGCAGAATTGGAGTCACAAGGAGAAAATAAGGACAAGAAAGAAAGGGAAGGCAAATTAAAATTTTGTTGCTGAGCTCTCAAAGTTTCTCTCTTCCACCCACGTCTTCCGCCTTCTTCCCCCAGGTAGCGCCTTCTTTATATTCCTTGAAGTATTTGTTCATTAAAACTATCCTGCACACACAAAAATGTATCTTTTTGAGTCTCTATCAGACATTGACAAGCAAAGCTAACTTGAAACACGCAGTTAATTTACCAAATTGCAAATACACAGAGTTATATGGAGTCAAATGTAATTGACATATGTAATGACATAATGTATTATAACATAAAACAACATTGCTCTCCAAACACTTTACAAATTACAGGCACACAATTGCCTTGGAATCCATTGGTCCTATCAGATCAGTTGGCACATCCTCTCTCTGTGCTGAGTTTTAATTCTTCCCTTACTTATTCAGAACAATTGTTTATAGGATATTGACCTGTGCTGGTGTTAACTGGAAACTGATCTTTCGATTCTTGTTCTTTCATCATGTGGGCTGCTTTATCTAAATGAATTACTCGTTTCCTGGTTGTTCATGCCTCCCTGAAAACAGACAAAAAAATCTTTCCATGGAGAACAAAGCAATGCCAAATATTGTTTAAAAAAAATGATGTTTAATTTTCTGTAAAACTTTTTGACATGCCTCAAGTGTAAAACTTTGCCTGGGTTTCACAAATATTTAAATGAATGGTATTTTGATGTGATGAATGTGTTGGAATTTCCTAAATCTATGAAATGATTGGTTTTATAATTTATTTTTACCCAATTTTAGATTTTGATACACAGATCAAAATATAGGCCCTTGTATTTGTAAACAAACCAACCAACCATAGAGGCTATTAATTTTATCAGTACTTTGTTTCGTAGTGGTATTTAAACATTTATCTATTTGGCAATTCTATTTATTTGCCTTAGTAAATACATGGGTGCTGAATATAATACCTCTAAAAAATTAAAACCCATGAGTATCATTTAGAATGCCATGGTTCCACATGTTTTTGAATCAGTTAAATGGAAATAATACTATTGCTTTGCTTTATTGTCATTTATGTTACTGCCTTTTATTTATTTGTTTGTTTGTTTAGTTTTGTTTATGTGTGTTATGAACCAGTTTTGTTCATAAAATTATCTTAGTTTTATTTCTCCATCCTTATGTTAAGACCAGAGCATTATATCAAGGCTCCAAAATAGAGATGGCTTAAAAACTTGGAAATGTTATAAATAACTTTCAAGTATAAAAGCACCTGAAACATTGCATGCCCTATGGGGTTTGGCACAGAATTCTAAGACAACCAGTTTTTGTTTTTTTTTAAGTTCCCCACTAGTGCATCTCTGCTAAGACCCTCCCCCACCTGGGAGGTGCCCCCTCCAGGTTTATTGCAGGGACCCCTGATTTCTCTTTGAATCCTTTGCTCCATTTATGACCTGCTTTTGTCTCTCACTCATCCGCAGAGCCCGGCGTTTGCACGGTATTCGGAGATCCCCACTACAACACTTTTGACGGACGGACATTTAACTTTCAGGGGACGTGTCAGTACGTTTTGACAAAAGACTGCTCCTCCCCTGCCTCGCCCTTTCAGGTGCTGGTGAAGAACGACGCGCGCAGGACCCGCTCCTTCTCCTGGACCAAGTCGGTGGACCTGGTGCTGGGCGCCAGCACCGTCAGCCTCCAGCAGCACTTGACCGTGCGCTGGAACGGCTCGCGCATCGCGCTGCCCTGCCAGGCGCCGCAGTTCCACATTGACCTTGATGGCTACCTCCTGAAAGTGACAACCAAAGCAGGTGGGCTTCCGTGTCCCTCTGGCTCTTCCCTCTGCCTCACCAACCCGCACAGCAGTGCTCTGTCTCTTCCGGAGGAAAGCCCAGAGGCAGGGAAGTGTTCCTGCTGCAGGCGGTACTACATCCCTGTGCACCAGGGCTTCGAGGGAGACCTGGAAGATACCACAAAATAGCTGGAGAAATCTACACACCGTGGAGCCTTGCCGGCCGGCACCAGTCACACCACCCTTGCAATCTGCTGACATCCCCATTCCAAAAATAGCACTTGTGCGCTCCAAATGACTTCTTTCTCATGTTTCGTTGCAATTTTAGGCCATTGGTGTCCAGCTTGGAATTGTCAGTGTTTCTCCCAGCTCAGCTAGTAATGTGCAGTTTCACATCTGTGAAGAAGAGAGTTTTTCTTGTTAGCATCTGTCCAAGAAGGGGGAATCCTTAAAAGTAAACCACTAATGTGTGGGTGTGCAGATGGGAGTGTGTACGGCTGTGTGACCAGCAGTTCTGTCCATTCTGGACCCTGGGGATGGTACTCGCTGAGTTAATGGCTAGAACCAGGGCTCCCCTGGAAGATGCTTAGGTTCCTCTGAAACTGCCGTCACCCAGGCTGGGTACATGGAGCCGCTTGCTGCTGCCCCTTCTCAGCATCCCATGTTGCCCGAGACCCACTGGACCCTCTGTTCCACTCCACTGGAAGACACATCCCTCCCAGGCCAAACTGTGCATAGTTGCTAGCAGGTTACTCCTAGGGGCTCAGTGAAAGCACAAATTCTTGCCTGCGGGGTGCTACCTCAAGAGGCACCTTAGAAGCAGAACTCAGTCCTTCAATAGCAGCCCCAGGGAATGAATTCATTTACACATTCAGTTGTATCATGGTTCCTTCCATTCTACTTTGGTTAATGCATATTGTTTGTCGATTGAATATTGAACTGCATGTTCTCCTGGTATATGCTCTTTCTGTCAGCATGATACTTGAGGAAATCAGTATATTTCTCACTTTTTGTATTGATGAAAATTTAACAGTGTAAATGCATCAATTATGTTCCAGTTTCTTTAGATAATATGGATCCAAAAGGGAAATATTTGATAGAGCAGACACTTTTGAGGCACTATAGAGCCTGTTCTCTGCTGTACTTCAGAACCCTGTTAATTGTTTCCGTTCAGGCCAAAATACATTTGACAAATTGATCTGAGTTTATGGAATGCCAGCACAGCTAAACAATGGCAGCAAGCCAAGGAGGAGCTTAGGGAGCTTTTATTTAGGGAGCACAACATGGTTGCAGTGAGAAAAAATTAAATATTAATGTATTGGAACATTCTATAAAACGGAGGATTCCCAACTTCACTCTGAATGTAGCAGGTGTGAAGAGATCTATTTATTCAATTTGAGAGGGATTAGTCCTCTTCAGAAGATTCAGACACCTGTTATTTTATTCAAATGCCATGTCACTCTGTCCATGTAGGCCTCAGCTCACTCCTTTAATGAAGGCTACAGTTTGTGGCTCTCTGTAAATCGTGCCCAAGATGACTCATTATTATGCAGCACTAATTAGAAGCACCTTGCTTATCTGTTTGCATGCCAGCTGAACACAATGGATTCTACTGATATGGAAATTATTGGTCAACCACAGCCCTATTTTCAAAGGGATCCTGGATACTGAGAGATTGCGAACAGTCTAGGAGGTTTGATACTGTTCTGCTCATAGCTGGCGACATCTTAGGGAATACGTGTACTCTTGTAAGGATTCCACGTTGTAAAAATGAGTGAAAGGATGGGGCTGCTAAGAAAATAATAATAGATCATAAACACCATAATTAGATTAATGAATTTCACTCTTCTTGGCCTTGAAGTCAGTTTTACAATTTCCTTTCTTCTTTCCATCTCTCTTACCACGATGCAAGTAAGTCATGTGATGTCCTTAATGCCCAGCTGAACACTTTCCCGGAGCATAAACTTTCTGCTTCCTAGGGATGAACTGTATTCCTATGGGCACTAAACTTGCTTTGAGAGTATCCTTTGAGTGGAACACTTCCATTTCCAGACACTATTCTTCCCCCAAGACCAATCTCAGTCTGTGCTATGCCTTAGGGATATTTTCTTTTTATCACCTACTCATTGTCTACTTAAAATATCACAGTATATCCTTGTAGTGTTCTTCTCCCATTGATTATTTTTCTAATTTCATAAGCCTCATATCAAAGGGAACTTTTTTCAAAATATTTTTTCAAAATAACATTATATCAAGCCTACAGCTCAGAGGATGGGAAGTGGGGAGAAATGGCTCTTTGCCCCTGTGTTTTATGAACTCAGCACTTCATGATGGAACCCTTTGGCAGAGGAGCACAGGTGGCTGTGTAGCTTGGTGGGATTAGGCTGTCGCTGCTTACCTAATAACAGCCAGGGTGGGACAGAGGGCACGGAGCTGGTTTAGTAGCTGGAGAAAGCACTGCCCACCCCCATCACACTCCTACCCCAATCTTGGCACTTAGTGAATAATTTAAAAATATTTCCTTTCTGCCATCTGTTCACTTCATCAGCTGTACCTGAGAGAGTTACGTCAGCTCCACCCAAAGGCATTAACACGTGGGAGTGTGGTTTTTATTTTATTTTTGGTAGAGTTCTACACTTTATGAACCTGGAGACTATATATATATATATATATATATATATATATATTCTTTTTTCTTTTTTTTCCTTTGGTACAAAATCTGAACAGAAAAGCCATCAAGTTTTAAGCATCACTTTGGTATGTCTATAGATTTTGTGCCTCATCTGTCTCTAAGTTGGACAACAGCAAAAGCAACGATGACCAAAAAAAAAAAAAAAAGCAAAACAAAAACAGCAACAAAATAAAAGAACAATGACTTCTCTCCCTCAGAAAACAAAACACGACACAACAAAACAAAACAAAACAAAACAACCCCCACAACCTCTAAGCTAGTGGTGTGGAGCCTTTATTTGAAGGGTAAAAAACAAGTTGGTAAAACATTCACTGGTGAGGAGGGATAATTGGAAGGCGCTTTTTGCAGTGGAAGGAATGTGCCTGCCGCTTACACCTCCAGACAGGACATGTGCTTTGGCTTTGGCCTTCTGACTCTGCCAGTTATTTCTACCCAGCTTCCCATGCAGAGGAATTGGGAAACTCATCCCAGCTGTAGAAATGACTAGCCCCAGCCCCTCAAAGGCTTCCACAATGTTTTCATCTCATAAGATGCCTATTTGAAATGTCTTTTGGAAGAACAGTTTCTTCGTTTTTAACTTATTCATTTTTTTTTGCTGTCATGATTGTAATTTCCTTTGTGTGCATTTTACTCATGTAGAGGGTAATAATAATCATGCAAATGCATATATATATGATATAGCAATAGACAAAGCCATCTGTAGTTGGATAAGTCGTCCCTTAGCATTGGTCCATGAAAATCCTTTTACTATAATAAAAACAAAGAAAAGAAGAGGAAAAGAGAGTGAATTACAAATTATTCTTTTACTTTTGGAGCCATGTTTTATGAGAGATCAAGAGTTTGAGAAGAGTTAACTAAAAACAATGGCTCCGCATCTTCCCAGGCATGCGAGGGACCATTAGTCTATTGCATGAAAAGAACATAATGACTGGCTTGTCCACTGTGAGTTGATTTCACACATGAACTCAGTTGCCCAAACTCTCAAATTTGTTATATCATTGTCAGTAATGATGTTGGAGCTCCTTTGGATATAAATTCTCAACCATTGTGGCATTTGGAAGAATAGTATTTGCCTACTGTCTAGGAAAGAGATTTGCAGTTTGGAAAATTTTGCAACACGGAAAATCTTTGGAATTATGCTTTGGAAGTTCAAATGTTGTATGGAATTGATTTTCTTCCCTCATTTCTCTTGCTGGGCAGCTGCCTGGCTACAGGCTCGTGAGGTCATGTTTCTTCTATACCTTAGAGAGTTTATTACAAATCATATTATAATTTCCTTGTCTTTTTTCAAAATTGTTATTTCAGTGTCTTAACTAGCATGAAATTCACAATTTCTTTGACTTTGCAGATTCAACTCAAAATGTATCAATTTACAGGCAATTCATTCATTTAGTGAGTGTATGGTAGGTGCCAGATAATGTGTTAAATGATGGAGTATGAAGAAATATAAATCACTTTATAGGAGAATTGTAGTTGTGGCAGGTGACATCATCATCTCACAAAGATCCACAGAGGAGGTCAGTCTACCACATGGATAATCTCACAGTGTGTCCTTTCTCTGATCACCTTGCCCCATCGCTCTACACTCTTCACCAGATTACTCCTAAGAGAGATTTTTTTTCTTTCCAAGTTATTTAAATTCCAGTTAGTTAACATACAATGTAATGCTAGTTTCAAGTGTAGAATTTAGTGATTCATCACTTACATATAATACCTGGTGCTCATAAAAAGTGCCCTCATTAATACCCACTGCCCATTTAACCCATCCCACCACCCACCTCCCCTCTGGTAACCATCGGTTTGTTCTCTGTAGTTAAGAATCTGTTTCTTGGTTTGCCTCTCTTTAAGAGGGACTTTCTTATGACCTTCTTTCTTTCTTCTTTACTCAACTCTATTTAATTTTTTGAATCTACTTTCTTCTCCATCCCAAGAAGTCTTCTCTACCATTTGCCTTTGACTAAGAACGTTTCCATTCCTTTCATTTACCATACAGTGATTTCCATATGGGCCTTTGTTTATTTCTTGAGAAACCTAGTTTTAGAGCACCGGTTTATTCTGTCAATAACTCCCTAAAATGGATTTGTAACTCTTTCTTGTGGCAGTTGTGTGGCCTGCTCACAGAAATGCTATTTGGCCAGCCTTCTCTCCTCTTGGATCATGTTCCAACTTAGGGAATATTGGCTTTAGAATCTTACTTCTGGGCATTTCTTACTAATCTTACATCACTCAGATTTTGTCTTATGCCAATTTTATATCCAGGATCCATTCCCTCCTCCTCTGGCCCTCTCTTTCCCATCGCTGCCTTACCCCCCAACTTCTGAGCATCTGCTGGACATTTGTCCACCAACCTAATCTTGCAGGGTCTTCTAAGAGGAAAGTCATGTTGCTTTTTCCAGAGGCTCAGAAAAGGCTAAATGATAGACTAGATTTTGTTAGAAACCCAAGAGGGTAAGATTTAAAAACACACACATGGGAAGACTTTCTCTTTTTCTGTTAAAAAGAGACTTTTTCTTTAGGTTGTTACTCTTAGGAAATAGTGACAGTGAATAAGGAGAAGTCCCAGGGCAGAAATGAACATCAGTTTCTTGTAGATGTTCTCCTGGTGCTCATGTCAGAGAACTGGTGCTTACTTCATCCATTCACTGGGAATCTCAGGCACTACCAGGGTATTATCAGGAAAACAGTAAGAAAAGCTTCCAACACACACTTGAGACATAAAGAAAAATTCTGACCAGAAGAATTTGTTATTTACTCTTTAATGAACCTCAAAAGGCTTTTTATAAAAACCCTCAACTTTATCTAATGCACAGTGCCTTCACACACAATATCAGGATATATATGAGAACATTTCTTCTTGACCTTCTAGTCAGACTGATCTGTGCTATGTGACAGCATAGCCTGGCTGTCCTATATGTGGTATAGAAATTCCACTACTCAATGGGGCCATTTCATTGGCTGATGGATCTTGGAAGTCTTGGGTCAGTATATCTGAAAAAAACATGAATATTTACAGACAGAGCCTCCAAAATTTTAGATGGTCAGTTCAGCAAACTAAGAGGAGCCTGTATTTTTTACCTTCTGGGGTGAAGACTATTTTCTTGGTTGCACTGTCCTTCTGATTCTATCTAGCACATGAGAAACTTGTAGCCTGGAGGCCTGGTAGCCTCCAGTGCCTTCTCAAATGTTGAAGTTTATGATCAGCTCAGGCTGTGAAGGTTGGAAGGGTTCCACAACAACTGAACCCTAGGAAACATTGATTAAACAGCCTTCCTTGTCTCAGGGTTGTGTGTGAAACAAAGATGAGGCAAACATTTTTATTTATATAAGTGTTCTCCTTTGAATAGGATCTATTCAGAAGCTATATATTTATTACCTTAATACTTTCACTATAACAAATAACTTGGAAATTTTTGTTTGACATTTGGTATAATTACATGGGGGATTTTTGGATAAAGAAAAAGATTACTTTAAAAACAATGATCTTTGTTATCTTTCCATTTCCACATTTCACTTATCATTGGATAAATGAAAGCACAAGTTGGACCAACATAATTACTATAGGAAAAGGGCAAAACTATAAACTTTAGAGGAACATGGTCAAAGAGTAGTCCTCTATGAGGCAAGCCAGAGTACATAAGGTATCATGTAAGGACAAACTTTATACAGTTTAAAAACCCTGAACCCCAAAAAGTAAGTGATTCATGTAAAATCTACAACACTTAACATGGTAAGATTAAACAATAATGAGAATTTGGATAGACATTAGTGTCCCTTGTTAGAGGTCAGTCTTATATACTGTGTCCTTACATACATGCACTCAGGAATTATTGGTGGGTTCAGCAGTGGTTGATCCTCTTTTCCTCTCCTTTTCCTTCAGGTTTGGAAATATCCTGGGATGGAGACAGTTTTGTCGAAGTCATGGCTGCCCCTCATCTCAAGGGCAAACTCTGTGGTCTTTGTGGCAACTACAATGGACATAAGCGTGATGATTTAATTGGCGGAGATGGAAACTTCAAGTTTGATGTGGATGACTTTGCTGAATCCTGGAGGGTAGAATCCAATGAGTTCTGCAACAGACCTCGGAGAAAACCAGTGCCTGAACTGTGTCAAGGGACAGTGAAGGTAAAGCTCCGAGCTCACCGGGAATGCCAGAAACTCAAATCCTGGGAGTTTCAGACCTGTCACTCGACTGTGGACTATGCCACTTTCTACCGGTAAGTACAGCATTTTGGGATGGTTTGGGTTACAGACCAAGGATTGACTTGATCTTGAATCAGAGTATATCAAATCTTCTAGTGTACAAAACATGGGCTCCCAATGCACAAGATAAACACTTTTTTTTCTTATGTTGAGACCAATCTTACTTTGACTAAGTCCCACATTGTGTCCCAAATTACGAAATTGCAGGGGAGTATTTCAGAGCTGTCTCCTATAGATCATTCTCTTTTTGTGTCTGCAGGCTCACTGGGAAATTGGTGATTTTTCTAGTTAGCTTGACTCTAAGACTGAGGAGTGGTTCCCAAATTCTGTCTAAACTACAGTGGTATAGGATAGAGATGGGAATCTCAAATAACTTTGGCTGCCTTTTGGTGTTTGAGTGAGCTTGGTCATTTGAAGCCTGAGGAATGGTTCAGGTCTGCCTCATGGTCTAGTACCAAACAAATCTGCAGGTGGAAAGCAAGGCAATGAAATGAGGAGACCTTGGCCATCTATCAGACTTCACATAGGAGAGAGTAGAAAGAAAGCTTGAAGATGGAAGAAGGATGTTCTCTCATTTAGAATATGGATTCCATAACCTTTTCTTCCATGCTGCGAGGCTGCATTTGTGAGTAGATGAGTCTGGCCTGGTTGTACTTCCATTTATTACATAATTCCATGGGTTCAAGAGCTATGACTCTCTATAACTTTAACCACCATGGGTGTGGGAGGAAACATGAGAAGACAGAACCCAAAAGGCCTTGTTTAAGTGATTTGCCTGTGCCTCTTAAAATGAGAAAACTCCTGTGGTCTGAAGCCACAGAAAAGTTATTTTTACTCTTTAATTGCCACCAGTTTATTTCCCCTCGTTCTCATTAAATGTGATCTTTTTTTATTTGATCTTTGGACATAAAAGATAAAGTTCTACAAAGACAGCTCAAAGTGGAGTAGAAAAAGGACTGTCCCTGTCATCACACACCCCTAAACATGGCTGTGCCTGCCAAACCATTTGGCTCCAACTCCTACATTTAGCTCTTTCAAGCCATTTTCCTGTTATAATTTGAATCCCTGGATTCCCTTCTTCCTCTTTCCTATACCACCCCCTAGATTGACCCCACCCTTGTCTATTGAAATTGAAAAGATCTTTTTAAAAAGGTTTATTTATTGTTTATTTTAGGGGAGAGAGAGAGAGAACATGCATGAGCAGAGGGACAGAGAGAATCCCAAGTGGGTTCCACACTGTCAGCACAGAGCCCATCTCAGGGTTTGATCCCACAGACTGTCCTGAGTCAGATGCTTAACCAACTGAGCCACCCAGGTGCTCTTGTGTGGCTTTTTAAATTGAAAGATCTGAATGTAAGACTTTGGAGTGAGTTACGGAGCTGGGCAGAGAAACCGGGCTTTGTTTGGACTCTAAATACACATCACTTGAAAGTCTGAGGGGAAGCAGTAGAGCATAGCAATTAATAACTTTGAGGGGTGCCTGGGTGGCTCAGTTGTTAAGTGTCCAACTTCAGCTCAGATCACGATCTCATGGTTCGTGGGTTCGAGCCCCACGTCAGGCTCTTTGCTGACAGCTTAGAGCCTGGAGCCTGCTTCAGATTCTGTCTCCCTCTCTCTCTAACCCTCCCCTGCTCACGCTGTCTTTCTCTCTCAGAAATAAATCTTTAAAAGTTTAAAAAAAAGGAACTTTTGGTCTTCTGGAGCTAAAAGTTCAGCCCAGCTTTACAACACTGAACAATTATTTAAGCTTTCTAAACCTTAGTTTGCTTATCTGTGAAGTGGGGATAATAAAAGAACCTAAGGTAGATTTAAGGGTTGTAATTCAGATTTAGTGAGATTATGAACATAAATGCATGTGCCCAAATGCTATGTAATTGATGGTTCCTGTAGTTTCTTCTATTAATTAAATTAAACGATGAACAACTATAATGACTCTTTTGGAAGCTTCCCTGCCTCAGTTGCAGATTTGGATTAGACCCTTCTCTGCCTAACATAGAAAGGAAAGGTTGTACTCCTCCCAGGGCCCCAATACTCTACACCTTTGATTTTTATCTCGTTTCAAAGAAGTGTGTTGAAAACAAAAATTGGAGAGCGGGGCTACAGAGACTAGTCCCTTTTTGCAAATTTCTATTTCTTTTCCCTTTGGTGATTTATTTCCTATTGTGATCCCTGGACCGCAAACAGAAATATGATGAACACCTTGGCAGAAGTCGTGAGAAATGACATAGCCAGGAACAGAAAGGACCAGAATTATTAGGTGGCCAGGCAGATGCTTGCCTTCTGCCCTTGGAAGTTGCTGCAGCCACTTCAGCAATAGAGCAGGGGTTGCTTGTTTGTGGCACGGGCTTGGTGTGCAGAGCCTGGGGGAGCTCATGAGGATGTTTTCAGGATCTTTGTGCACTGAGGTTTGGAACACCAGCGGTGATGGGAGATGAGCTCATGTTCTGCCTTGCACGGTGTAGGGACAGGGCACCCTTCCATGGCCAGCCACTCTGTCCTGGAAGAGGCAGGGGAACTGAGGAGAGTGGGGATAGACAACCTACCTGTCACACATCCTGCTGATGATCTCATGCCCCGACCACAAGGCATGTCATCATGCATTTTTAAGTGAGGGTGGCCAGTGTTGGATAGATGGTGGGTTTCTTTCTTTCTTTCAAGCATACATGTGGCAGGAAAAAGAAGACAAACAAGGTCAACATGGAAAGGTAATTATGTTCCCACAGATCTACAATGAGGACCAAACCTCAGAGAGGCTTTAGGAAGCAATGGACAGAGAACATGTTGAGTGATGCCAAGTTGGACCTAATCTCAACTCTGCCATGTTCTAGTTGTGTGGCCCTGGTAGCTAGCTGAGGTTCAGATTCTTTACCTATTGCATTGGTGTGACAGTAACTGCCTGGTGGGGCTGCTCCTTCAAGGACCGAGGTCAATGGGCAGTGCCATGTTTTACATGGCAGACAGCCAGTACTAGCACAGTGTGCTGTTGTCCTGTGTCTCTTCCTTTCCCTGGAGGATCTTGTCCTCAGCTTAGCCACTTATCTTTCTGATTGCTGATATCTTCTGCTTACTTCATGGAGAACTGATTGGATAGATTCTTGCTGATAAATCCATGGAAAAATTTAAAAGTCAATGGTTTCTCATTAGTGACACTCAATGAGATAGTGTAAGAGAAGACTCCATTGCAATCCTTTTCTTTTTTTTAATTTTTAGTTTTTAAGTTTATTTATTTATTTTGAAAGAGACAGAGAAAGTGAAAGTGGAGGAGGGGCAGAGAGAGAAGGAAACACCCAAGCAGAATCCCCACTGTCAGCATGGAGCCCGACATGGGCCTTGAACTCATGAAACCATGAGATCATGACCCGAGCTGAAACCAAGAGTCAGACACTTAACCGACTGAGCCACCCAGACTCCCCTGCAATCCTTTTTAGAAGTGTGGTTTTTGGGGGTGCCTGGGTGGCTCAGTCAATTAAGCCTCCGACTTTGGCTCAGGTCATGATCTCATGGTTCATGGGTTCGAGCTCCGCATCGGGCTCTGTGCTGACAGCTTAAAGCCTGGAGCCTGCTTCAGATTCTGTATCTCCCTCTCTCTCTGACGCTCCCCTACTCATTCTCTCTCTCTCTCAGAAATAAATAAAACATTAAAGAAATTTAAAAAAATAGAAACATGGTTTTTGGGGCTCCTGGTGGCTCAGTTGGTTAAGCTTCCGACTTTGGCTCAGGTCATGATCTCCCTGTTCGCAGTTTCAGGCCCCACGTTGGGCTCTGTGCAGACAGCTCAGCCCCTGGAGCCTGCTTCAGAATCTGTGTCCCCTTTCTCTCTGCTCCTCCTCCACTCACACTCTTTCTCTCTCTCTCAAAAATAAATAAACATTAAAAATTTTTTAAAAATTAAAATAAAAACACATTTTTGTCTTATAAGAGTAATATATGTTCATTGTATGAGACAAATAATATTAAAATGAATAAAGGAGAAAATGGCAATCATATGCTATTTCACCCATATAAATTTTTGCTTGTACATTTTATGTCATTGGTGGAATTTCTAAAATGAATCTGAAAACATAGTCATGACTGTGGCTGTGACCTTATTTTTGAATCATTATAGGACTAAAGAGATTTGCCTTAATATCATGAAAAGTCATATACATAAATTGTGTACGAATTCGATTCCTTGCATTTCCCCCTCACTCTCCAAAGAAATATGAGTATTTCCCGTACGGACAAAGAATAAGGTCACATAGCACACAAATGCATCCTTCCAAGCACCACTGGATTTGTGACAATGAAGAAGGGAGGGAACAAAGAAGACATTTCTCTGAGGAAATGGTACCTTTTTTGGGTTTTCTTAATTATATGATAAATTTCACATGGCTAATTCTAGTATATATATGAGAAATATTCTTATAAAGTGAAAATAATAATTCTAATTTTTCTGAATTAGAATTTACTTTTTAGATGTCAAGGATTTAAGATCCTTATTTTTACTTTGTTTTGGTCTTTTATCCAATTCAACATTTTAAATAGTAAACTATTGTCTAAAAATTTGAAAAACTTTGTAAGTGAGTAAGAAATTAGCCCCCAATTTTTGTTTTCTCTTTTGGGAAACATTTTAGGTTTTGCTAATTTTTCTTCACAAATCAATTCTTCCCCTCGTTGGCTGATTTGGCATAAAAATATGGTATTCAATTAAATAATAATTTAATCTTTGTGATCAGCATACTTTGGTTTAATTCATTAATCAAATACATTTAGGTACAAGATAATTTAATTATGAATCACATAAAAATTTTAGCTGGCTGCATTGGTAATGTGTCTTAAGTCCTAGAGTTGCTAATTGACTTGTCCTTAGATTAGATAATTCTCTTTAATAATGTTTTGCAGTCTCCTTCACTGGGATGTTATGGAGAAATTCCTAGAAGCTAGGAAGATAGTGCACTGTGGAAAAATTGATGCAAAGTCATTTGAATTCTATTTGGATTCATGCAGAGACTCCCTGAGGGGAAAATGTCGAGTA